TTTAAGCTAATTTTTAGTCCAACTAGTAACTATCCTATCTTATCCAAACAGACCCTTAGTGTTATTACTTGTTGATGGTTAAAGTTAATTTTAAGACCGTGACTTAGAGTCAAATCATATTTTTCACTCTCTCGGTTTATGAATAAATCAACTTTTAGATTTGATCTAAGTCAGACTTTTTAAAATTTAATCAACTTGTATATAAAAGAGTACTTATATCTATATTGATTTTATGTCATAAATATTATTATTTTTATACTAAATCTATCTTACAAAGTTTAGCTTCAAACAACTCAAGAAATTAATTTATTCAAGGGCCACGTAGAAGCATTTTTTTGAATAAAATAGTATAGACGTAGACAATCGTATTTCTACGAGACACGCATACACCTTACCCATATAAGCACATTCAAAAGAAGAAAAGAGTATAACGCTGGTAACATTTAGAAAAGGACGAGAATCCGCTTCAAGTGTGAACTAAGTGGACATACTGCACCATAAGAATCTAACCAGAAAAGCTCTGTTGAGTCTGTAATTGTAATTTTTATTTAATAATATTAACAAGAAGAGTGATTATTCAGAACTTTTACAATTGCATGTGGCGACAAGAGGAGTCACGCGAGCCCGACCAACTTGTCTCACAGGTGTCGCCTTCTAACGTTCAAACTGGTGCCACCTCGTATGCTGACGCGGCAACTGCAACCATCTTTACCCTTTTTGACAACTAACCATCTTTACCCTTTGTCAGTAAAGTGAGCGGCCAGCGCTGACCTTTAGCTGAAAAGCACTGCCTGCCTGCTTCTATGCTCTTCTCCTCCTCCCTCCAACACCATTCAAAACGATGTCAGAAAAAAAAAACACCATTCAAAAGACCTCCTCACTGCTCCAACCACATCTCCTGCAAATTGAAAACTACAAGTGATAAGACAAACAAATCTTCCAGCCACCACCGGTAAGCATCGCATTAAGGAAACAAAGTGCAGCCCAGATATATTCCGTGAATGATTGGTTAATTCAGCAGTTGTACCTCACACTAATTTTCCATTCTTATTTAAAATGTTTTGCTCAGCACCAGCAGTTGCAGGTAATGTTCAGGCTAAGCACTGAACATTCTTAGGGCCCATTCAGTTATTATCTTTTGCTCCTAGACTTTAGCTGTATTATACATCTAATGACCCTGTATGTAATTATTAAGCATCAAACAGGTAGAACCCTTACTTTTGCTCTTAGTGCTTGTCTCATTGGCATTGCTTGACACAGCAATCTCAGTTGCCAAGCATCTTACCAACCGCCATCACCATGTTATAATAACCCCATTTGCCTACCATCACTTCGATTTCAACTACAGAGACAATTAGATTAAGCCTACATCCCTTCCTATGATCCTCTATTTCTAGTCATTTCCATTCCATCTCTGGGAATGTCAAGAGGCGGTAGATAAAGAAGTTGCAACCTCCATGACCACTCCTCATATACATCTTCCTACACAGGCTTCCATAGAGTCAGAGCCTCAGAGCTAGACAGAGAGACAGAGAGAAAGAGAGAGATTTGCAGCAATGGAAGAGTTCACATTCCCCAGCTCCCCACTGGAGCAATACAACGCCAAGAAGGTCCCATTCCCCCACTTTGCCTCCGCATCGCCGTGGCTCGTCGTCCCCGGCGGCGTTGTCGACACGGCCGTGCACGATCACGATCACCGGAGGAGCTTCTCGGCCGTGGAGCCGCAAGAAGCCGCCGGCAGCGACTACCACCACCAGCACCAGCAGCAGCTGGGTGGCTACGACCACCACCGCCACGGCTCGGCTCGATTCGCCGTGGAGGACAAGATGGACATGCTGTGGGAGGACTTCAACGAAGAGCTCGCCCGGGCCGCGCAGCCGTGCCCGCTCACCAAGGGGACGCCGTCGTGGGCGACCGCGAAGGAGTCCTGGCTCGACGGCGACGGCTACGGCTATGAAGGCGCCTTCGAGACGCGCAAACACGCCGTCATCCGGCGGCGGAGGATGGGCCTGCTCATGATGCTCAGGCTGCTCAAGAAGCTCTTCCTGGCGCACAAGTCCGGCGCCGCCCCGTCGCGGAAGGCGCCGCCGATCTGATGCAGCTGAAAAAATCGAGTCTTTGAGTGCATGATGTTGATGATGTGTCAGGTGTATATACGGAGGTGATCAATTGATCAATACATGCTTCGCTCGGTAGCACAGGACCAAGAACTTGGTTCAGAGCTGTCGGTGGGAGTGGCCTTTTGCTGATGAATGTTCTGTTTCTCTTGTTAGAAGTTTTTCCCATGTGTAGCTGTGTGATTGTTGAGAGTCTGATTACGCCAAAATTTTGGTTATGCCTTGTATTTTGCTTAAAGTTTGACGAGCTGCAAGATCTTACTGAAATCAGGGCAGCTATCAGAACTCTGCATCGAACGATATTTGTAAAATCAGGCTGATTTTGCATCTTTTGTCAAGTTCTTTCCTGAGTCCTGACCGAGCCTTCATGCATATTCCAAACATACACGTAAGTAGAATCCTACTTTTGTAAATCTGCTCCTATGGTCCTACCGGGCGTAATTATGCGAAGTTCAGTCCAATTTCAATTCAAGTGAACTGTGCAAATGGAAACTGAAGCACATCTAAATTAGGTTTGCTAATCACATCGCCAAATCCAAGTATAGCTATTCTGACCAGAAATCAAGACTATCTGACTCAGGTACAGTTGCGAAAATGACAAAAGAAAAGAAAAGAAAAGAAAGGTGGATCCACATTTCCCAAATTCAAAATGCATTCCTAGGTGCTGTTTAGTTGCACTTCATTTTGCAAAAAATTTCAAGATTCTCCGTCACATCGAATCTTTGGACACATGCATGAAGCATTAAATATAAATAAAAAATAAAACTAATTACACAGTTTAGACGAAATTCACGAGACGAATCTTTTAAGCTTAATTAGACTATGATTGAACACTAATTACCAAATAACAACAAAAGTGCTACAGTACCATTTTCCAAAATTTTTCGCGAACTAAACAAGGCCTAGTCACACCCTTTTCTGCTTCAGCTTTCAGCCGTTTAGATGTCGCTAACCCGTCGTAAAGAAGATTTAAAGCGGCTTTATCTAATATACAATCCTATCATTTTTCATAAAAGGATGGACCGAATAATACCGGTCCCTTTACTCAAATATAATATGTAATGCTTCATTCACTGAATCATGACATCTATCGAAGACGAGCAACAAGTTAAGGGACGGCCATGTGGAGTGGAGGTGGAGGACACACCAACAAACCGGTTGGTCCCAAGTAGACAGCAAGAATTAGTTGTAGATAATGTCCTGAGCGTGTCAGCTTGAAGTCATCGCATCGCATACCAGTTTATACACTTGCCTGGTAGTGGTAGGTATTGCATCACACAGAAACACAAGTTTCATTCCGCAAGCAAAAGCCAAAAGGTTTGTTGGCTACAGACTACAGAGAGTCTTTGATAACTCATGTACGTGGCAGTACAGCACAGACACTGAATTGCTTCAACTAGGGTACTGGTCTTTCTCAGCAACCTGGAACTGGCAAAAAAAAAAAATGCCGAGTAGTGTGACACTGAAATGACCTCACAGAGTTTGCTTATTTGAATCATATCTTACATCACAAGTTTCTGCCCAAGAGATAAATTGTCATCCTAGATGTTCATCCAGATTTGATTTTATTGTCACAGAACATGGCAGGGAAAGCATTGAAATGGTATACAGAACTTTGGGGTCACTAAAATATCTCCATACGGATAATTGTAGGATAGGTAACATGGGGTTCACTTATTTAGCTGTTCAAGATAGGAACATGGGATTACATGTGTAGAGGAGCTCAAGAACTATGAAGGATACCACAGGTATACAGGAATTAGAACCGATCATTAACAAACATCTATGCTGTTCAACTCAGTACCAAACAACTCAGCGACCAGAGCATCATTCTGCAGGTTGAGGATGTCTGCATTACTGATGCCCCTACGAGTCATCCTGTGTGAAGAAGAAACATTCTTAAATAAGACATTTTTAAATAGCATCAAAACTGAAACTTGATAAGGTAGGCTCAGGTAAAAAGTAAAACAAGGCAACATGAACATGAACTGACATATTGTACAATACCTTAATCCATAAGAGAGATTGCCGTGCCCCCCCAGAGAGTCCTAAGGTAACCTAACAGAACCTGTAAAAGCAATTCTCTGTCAATTGTTTTCCAAAATCAACCTCTACATGAATCAGAAAATCAGTGCTTATAACAAAGTTATTACAAAACTTCAGAACTTTACTATAGCAAAAGAAGTTATCCATATTTGGATCTCACAGAGAGATACCATTTTTCCTGATACTCTTTTCTTTCATGCATAGAGAAAAGCAAGTGGGATTTGCTCAGCTACTGCTATCCTTGGCTGCACATGGCAGCATATGGTCAACTTGGCAATACAGTTATCTAAGAACAGGTAGCACATGATTCTGCTTGCGAAATCTGACCATCTAGAAGAAATGCCAGATAGAATCGCACCAAAGAAAGTGTCAAATTCTCCTCAAGCTATCTTAGCTTTCAGTGTTATCATTTGCCCATATATATCAATAAGCTTTGGTTTTCAGGGCTCAGGGATGTCTACACAGATAGACAGTGTTGTGGAAGTATCACAGAAGAAATATTAATGAATTATATGCTTGGATTGGAATAGCTGATAGTTCTGACCTTAGTATATAAGTATTAACCATACATAAGCAGTGATAAACATGTTTGTTCTCAGGACAAGATAAAATATGACAACCTTTTACCAGGATAGACAACTCAAATTCATCGTCTCATGCTGTTATTTGCATAAAACTAGGAGTTAGAAACCTTACCATAAGAATCAAACTTCAATTTTAAAATTCTATCAAGAAAATGCAGAAACAGAAACAAACTGTAGTAACCACAGCATTCCTAAATGTCTTAAAACTTACTTTTATTCAATGGCTGCAGTAAACCATGTCAGTATTGTTTCATCACTTAGAAATGTTCTTAAGTAATCCGGACAAGGAACCACAGTGTGTTGACTTGTACTCGCACTGCTCACAGCATGACTGAAGTAACTGAATAACTCTCACACACCTGAAGAAATAAAACAAGCAGGAACTTCAGCGCACCAGAGTATAATCTCATAATCTCATATACCTAACTTAACTTCCATATAGAACATGATTCAAAAATTATATGCATGCTTTCGATATTCTGTAAATGTATGCTTGCGTGTTAACACCTGACAATATCCAAAAACAGAAGTATCAAATACCACTGTTTTTTTGTACTAGTGATAAACACAATGATTAGTATTTGATAAAAAAGGTCACTCATCGTTACCTAAACGCCCCCAATGTCGACTGAAGACCCTAACGTTTATATAGGTCAAATTTCTGTTGTGCCTAAATAAACAATACAAATTTAAATCGCAGTAGTAGTGAGAAGCAAATATAATCTAAACTAAAAAAAACAGTTCTTCGTCATTCTAATTAAATTTCACGAATGCTATAACCCCAATTGAATATTAAATCATGCCAAGACTAATCAATCTCACACAATTTGGGAAGTAAACACCAGGTCTCGAAGGACTCCAAAGCTTCTCTACTTCTCCAGGTCAACCCGTTCCTAAAACCTGAACAGCGCGCATGCATTCAGCTAAAAATACCCCACGGCCCCATCCCATCCATGGAAAGTTGGAAACGAAATCACCAACTATACATAGACCGACGAAGCAATCGAAGTCTTCGGGTTTGGGAAGAAAAGGGGTGCGTACTTCCTAGAGTCGAACATGTTCTTGGAGAGGCAGGCCTGGATGTCGCACGCCTCCTTCTTGCACGGCTCCTTGTTCGGCTGTGCCATCCCCTCGCTTCCCTCCTCCTCCCGCCGCCGCCGCTGCCGGAGCACGAACCAATTCAAAGACGGCGTGGGGGTGGGTCTTCTCGCTCCAGAGTCCCTGTGCCGTGCGAGTTCACGAAGACGCTTTCGAGAGGAATCGCATCATCTGGGCCGCTTGGGCCTCACATGTGACTCCTGGGCCGGCCCAAGATTGCACGTGGGCTCCGTCAGCCCGCATTATGTTGTGGCTTGGTCCGTTGTGCAAATGATGATGCCCGTACCTTCTTTTGCCGCTCGACTCGACTAGGCCGGGGCAAATTACCTGTTACCCGATACCAGAACCCGAAATATCTAAACCTATATCCAGATTATCTGAACTCAAAATATTCGATCACAAATTTGGATAGCAACTCTAGAAACCCAAAATTATTTTGAGCAGTTCGGGTATTATATCCCGGTATCTGAACTGCCCATAAAACCTGAATTGTATTAAGACCAGTTGCCCACTCCCCTACCTCACCTTTTGTCCTTCACGAGTTCACGGGCATGGCCCAACCCACCACGGCACCAAGCATCTTATATATCAAAAAATAAAGCGACTCTCTGTCTAGCCCCTGGGGGGGTGCTTCCCCGACCCCGACCCGAGTGTGAGTGGTGACCTATGTCACGCTTGGTGCTAATGAACCTAAAGGAGCTCTTGGACAAGAAGACACAGAAGGAGGCCACGCACCTGTAGCAGGTCCGACAACATCTAAAGAGAAGCCCACCCGACTGCCTAACAAGAGATTCACTGGGCCAGAATGGGCTTGATGTCGTGACCGCTATCAGCTGCGCTGCAAGAGTATCGGTTTGGCCGGTTGTATAAGAGAGACCCTTGGAGAGGAAGAGAGAATTATGTAAGAACACAATTGTGAATTGCCTTCTACTAAATCCTTCCTCGCTATTCCCTGTGTTCTTCCTACTCCGATCCCCCTTTTCTACTTCTCCTCGATCCCTCCCTCTTACATTTGGTATCAGATACGATCGATCCTTGGTCGCTCGCTTTTCCGCATTCCAACAATCACCTTGCAAAAGCTCTAGGTCCGATTAAGATTTCTTGTGGTTAGTAGCTGCCGCCGCCATAAATTTCTCTATAATTCCTAGGCACGCGAGTTGATTTGTGGGGAAATCTGCGATGCGAACCCTACCGCCGCCACCACCACTATACCCGTCGCCAATGTCGTCTCGACGCCATGAACCCGGAGACTAAACTTTTGATGGATGAGATGCACCGCCTCTTCTCTGAGCAGACGTCCCAATTCGACAAGCGCTTCAACGACGTCGAGCTCTACTTCGAGCATCGGATCTCTGATTCGGAGCTCCGCCAGGAGGAGCGCGCCGCCAACACCGAGCGCCCCCAGGATGTGCGTGTCCAGAAGATCGAGGTCGCCACGAACAACCTGCAAACGTGGCGCTTGGATACCGAAGGACTGGTGGACGATCTGCGCTTGAAGGTCACCAAACTCAACAAGCACTAGGGCCAATCCATCCTCGGCAACTCCTCTGCGTCCGTGGGCATCTTCTCCGCCCCGGCGCCCTTGGAGCAGGCTGTCCAGCGCCTATCTGCTAGTGACGTAGCTGCTCGGCTCAATGAGCACGGCGATGATCTCCATAACTGGGAGAATGAGTTTGGTGTTGTCACAACCCTATCTCATTCCCTGGTCAAGGGTATAACCTTGCCTCCTCCACCACCTCCCCTTAAGTTTCATGGCATAGCTTCTGATTTGTCTATCGCTCGCAATCGTCCACCTGACCACGGTTCCGCTTCGTTGGAACGTACCTAAACTGAATTTTCCACAATTTACTGGTGAACATACTCGTTTGTGGATTACCGGGCTGAGAACTATTTTGACATGTATTTACGAGCTGTTTGGTTTCTCGTACAGTAACGCAAACGTAAACAATTTCATTCGCCAGCTAGTTCAAATTCATTCCCGCCGGTAAGGTTCGCAGGTCAATTTCATTTATGTTTGCGTTTCCATTGGCACACCCAAACAGCTCGTTAGTTCATCCAATTAAGTGGGTTTAGGTTTCTCATATGCATTTTATTGATGCTGCTGCTCTTTGGGTACAGTCTATTGAACCTCAGTTGAAGCAGTTAGCCTGGCCTGAATTTTGTAAGATGATCCATGAATGCTTTGACAGGGATCAGCATCGGTTGCTGACCCGTCAGATGTTTCACATCCATCGGGAAACAACTGTCAAAGAGTATGTGGATCGGTTTGCAGCTTTGATTGATCAGCTCAAATCTTACAATCCTGCTACTGATCCCTTGGATATTTGGTTACTCATTTTATTGATGGGGTGCGAGATGATGTCCGTGCTGTCATAGTTATGCAACGCCCCCAAACTCTAGATACTGCCTATTCTCTCGCTATGATACGGGAGGAAGTCGCCGATCTGGGTCGAAAGAAGGATTTCAGACGTGATGGGGCTGGTCACTCCAAGTTCCTGTTCAAGTCAGCCCTGCCACTGCCCTTGCCCCTGGACAAGACCGCCAAACCTCCAGAGCCCCCTGGAGCAACGCCAGCACGAGCTGCTGCTGACAAGCTATGCAACCTGCGTCAGTACAGCCGCGCTCAAGGGTTGTGCTAGCAGTGCGCGGAGAAATGGCCTTGTGACCATCGCTGTCCTGCCACCATTCAGTTGAACACCATTCAAAAGGTATGCGATCTGTTTGCTCTGCAGGATACTGATTCTGATACTGGTGAACAGTCTGAACCTCAACATGAAGAGCAGCAGTTACTGGCTATTTCTTGTGATGCTTTGGGGATACTGAAGGAACTCAACCACTGTTGTTTGATGGTGTAATGTTGGGGTAAGCCGATTCTTATCTGCTTGCTGGATTCTGGGAGTACTTCTTCTTTCTTGAGAAAGCGTGTGCTGGATCGTCTATCGCAGTTGGTAGTTCCGTCTGTTCAGTGCAAGGTGCGTGTTGTGGATGGGAGTGTGATGAGTTGAAGTGCTATAGTTCCTTAGTGTACTTGGTCCATTTCATCTTGTTAGTTTCTCAACCCTCAAGGTTCTGGCTACACCATCTTATGACTTAATCTTGGGCATGGATTGGTTAGCATGTTTGAGTCCAATGAAAATCCACTAGAAGTGCAAATGGCTATAGATTCCTTATGGAACTTCTTCAGTAACCTTGTATGGGCGTAATGCAACTGTGTCTGAGGAGTTGGAGAGCTCCACTTGCTTTTTGTTGACCAACAGCTTCCCTAGATCTTCCTGCTGTGCCGGCTGAGATACAGTTCGTGTTGGATTCCTTTGCCAGTGTGTGTGTGCGCTCCTCCTACAGAAATACCTCCAGCTCGTAATTGTGATCATTGGATTCCTCTGGTTCAAGGTGCTTGGCCTGTGAACATTCGGTCTTACCACTACTAGAGGTGTGTTGACGACCCTACGGTGACCGTAGGGCAAGAACGGAGCTCACCAGGGTGCAGGGGCGGAGCTAGGATTTGAGCATGGGGGGGGGGCGGCAAACCGGCAACAACCATGCATGTCAAAATGAATACACGCGACAAAGATGTACATAACACACAGTTAAACGTTTATGTTGCGATACAAAAGAAAAAGAAAAAAACTAAAAATGAAGGGAGTTTAATTAGCCTCAGGCCTCTAACTTTTACCCGATCAATCTAATTCTTTGACCGAAAAAGAATTACGGTAATAACAAGTAGTTAAACAGGGCCAAAACTAATTAGCACTAGATCCTAAATGTTAAATGGCAAACAATCGGTCACTTGTCGTTTAGCCTCGGACAAAACGGTCACTTAAACGGTAGACGATTAAACGGAAACATCATACCACTATGTAGCATTTAAATTTTAAATATTGACCAAACTCGTTAATGCCAATTGAAGATCAATTTTGAAGGATTAAACAAGAAAAGGCACTGATTTCAATTAACTAGCTAATTAGAGTGTATGGTATGGGGACAAATTAATGTTTGATAAGCAATAACGAAAACAAAAAGATATGGAGAAAATATTAGAAAGACCTAATTTTTATTTATCTAAAATACTATTAGATATTAATATGGAGTAAGAACAAAAAAATATAGTACTAATAGTATCATTAACTAGCTAATTAGATAATTAAGCACCTAATTTAGGGGGTGTATTATGGGAGTTATGGGAAGGTTGGGCGGGTGCCAGGCCCCCCTTAGCCCCCCCTTCCCTCCGCCACTGCCAGGGTGTTCATGATACCAAACTAGCGCCTTGGCCAGGTGTCCGTGAACAGGACAGGTCCTTGGGTCCTAAGGTGGCTTGTGGGGCAAAGATAGTGATTTGCCTAGGCGTCCAAGGTGTGAAAATAATGCTTGGCCCAGGTGTCCATGGTATCCAAGTGAGGAATAGGCCAAGTTCTCGAGCCGACGATCCTAAGGTACTTGTGGGGCAAAAACAGCCCTTGTCAACACGTCCATGCTACAAAAACAGCTATTCACCCAGGAGTCTGCTAGCCTAGCTACTATGAGGTAGGGGTGAGAGGGCATACATACAATTTAAGTGCCACCATATACCAAAAGGATGGAACCCCAGACCTCGCCATGTGTGTACGGATGGCTGCAAAGGATTGAACCATAGGTTGGTTCAATAGATGAATGGTTGGTTGGTCCCACATGTATGCACGTATGTATGCACAAATATCAGCGAGAAAACAACTAGGACGTGCAATGAGCATGCCGGTTATGGGTCACGGTAGGCAGAAACAGCTCATGGGAGGAGGAAACGACAAGGTTGGGTCACACCAGATGAGAAAATGGATTAGTCGATCCAAAAACAGGCCGCCTAAGGCGAAAATGACTCACGTCGGGCCAAAAATGGGCCACAAGAGGATAAAATGGCTATGATGGGGCAAAAGGATACGAAAACCATTAAGTGAGTCTAAAAATGGAAAATAGGAGGCGAAAAGGGCTAAAGGGAGGGCAAAAGGGGCGAAAACAGTTGAAAACGAGCCATGGTCCTAACAGGGCAGCCCGTGGT